AACCTTTAAAACACAAAGGCAACATTATATTATAATCAGAATAAAACTATAGGAGGAAAAGCATTTTGAAAGTATTACACAGAAATTTCTATTTTTAGTAACCACGGCAACACAGTTCTCACATGAAAATTAAAAACCGATACACAGAATTATGTATCTTAGTGTAGTCTACTTGTGTGCCAAGTTATATTGAAATCAGACGAAAACTGTTGTAGAAGTCCGAAAAACCTGACGTTTTCCTGACTTTTTTCGATTTTGATTTTTTACAAACCAGGAAAACGTAAGAACCGGCGCCATTACGAAAAATGGGAATTCGCTGCCTCCAACCGGAGGTGGCATTTTAGGGTTGATTTTAGATACTTGAAAACGGAATTTATTATCAAACTCAGAAGTTGTCAATAGTAAAATACTTTTATTAATTCCCTATTTCATTTTTATGGTTCATTTATCAAATATACATTCTGATGAAAACATTTTATCAGACTATCGAGATGTCTTCATTTCGTGCATTTTAAAATCTCTCAAGTCATGTAACGAAATGTGGAGTGATCTTTTCTTTTCATCAATATTGGTGAGTACTAGAAGCATTTTGCTATTCATAAATTATAATTTCGGCATTTAGTTCGGTTCGCAGGTATTGAAAATCAACTCGGGTTGGAAACGGCGAAATTTCCAGTTTTCATAATGGCGCCAGTCTAACGTTTTCATGGCACGTACATATAAATATCTAAATCGTTTAAAAAGCCCGGAAAACGTCAGATATTTTGGACTATAGGATAAGTATAGCATTTTGAAAATATTTCATTGAAATTTCTGTTTTTAGTAAATACGGCAACACCGCTCCTCAAAATCAAAAACTGATATACAGAATCATATATCTTAGTGTAGTTCTACTTTAGTTGTGTGCCAAGTTATATGGAAATCAGACCAAAACTGTAAGAGGAGTAGCATTTTGAAAAATTGTTTACAGACAGACGGACGGACGACGGACACATTACTATCCCATAAGCTCAGCTGGTCTGACCAGTAGAGCTAAATCAAATTAATACGAAAAGTAATGTTTATATTCAACACGGCTTCTACATGTATCATTGTGTTAGGCTTTGACTTAACAATGTAAACAAGTAAGATTGCATGAACTGCTTAATGAGATTTTATTAGCTCACCTGAACCGAAGACTCAAGTGAGCTTTGTCCGGCGTCCGTCTGTCTGAAAAAATTTTCACATTTCGACTTTTTCTCAAGAACCACTGGGCCAATTTCAAACAAACTTACCACAAAGTATGTGTGGAGGGAATTCAAGTTCAAATGAAGCGCCACGCCCTCTTTCAAGGGGAAGTAATCATAAATTAGTTAAAAAATAGTGGCATCATTTAAAATTCTTCTCAAGAACCACTGGGCCAAGAAAGATGAAACTTATAATTATGGAATCATCCTCAGGTAGTGTAGATTCAAGTTTACATAGGAAAACACAGGGAAATTCTTTGAAACTCTTCTTCTCAAGAACAGCAAAGCCATGATTGGTCATATTCATACGAAAGCATCCTTGGGTTAGTGTAGATTAAAGTTTCTTCGAATCATAACCCCCAGAGATAGGGAGGGGCCACAATGGACTATGAAAGTTTTACATACTAGTAATACATAGGAAAATTCTTTAAAAATCTTCTCAAGAACATCAAAGCCATGATTGATCATATTTATATGGAAGCATCCTCAGGTTGTGTAAATTCTTATTTGTTTAAATCATGACTGCTGGGGGTGGGATGGGGCCAAAATGGGGGGGGGGGGTCCAAGTTTTACATAGAAAAATATACGAAAATATTGTTAGAAGTCCTCTCAAGAACAACAAAGCCATGATTAGTCATATTTATATGGAAGCATCCTCGGGTAGTGCAGATTCAAGTTACCCCTGGGATAGGGCCACAATGAGGTATCAAACTTTCATATAATACATATATAGGAAAATTCTTTAAAAGTCTAGCTTTCTAAGAACGTCAAATCCATGATTGGTCGTATCTTAATGGAAGCATTATCAGATAGTTTAAAATTCAAGTCCCCCTCCCCTCCATGTTAACGTTTCTATACCGAACTGTTTTTTTTTTCGTAGCCAATGTGCTCATATGAGCGATGTGGTCCATGGGCCTCTTGTCATTTAATAATTGAATCATAAGATGTATAATTAAGTCAGAACGATGATATAGCCACCTTCGAAATACAATATTCACCTCGCCCTTCGGTTTCAAAAACAAAACAAAAGCAAAGAAAAATGGCCATAATTGTATATTATTTTCTACTTTGTAGGGTCTCAGCCAATCAGAGAAATAATTATTATATTTCGTCATATAATAAATACATATGCCTCGGAAAAACCCAGTTTCGTTAGGGGAAATCCATTTGATTCTAAAGGGGAGGGGCAGATGTTGGAAATAAATACATTGTGTAATATGTCTTCATCTGTCCTCGACTTGACAGAACATAAATAATCTGTACCTGACCGGTGCTTTCAACCCCACCCACCCCCCTCCCCCTCAACGAATAAGGGTTTTAGACTTGGTGGGTTTTTTTGCATATCAGACTTTTTTCAGTGAAGAAGAAAATAATCTGTCCTTGATCTTATTAGAAATGAATAATCTGTCCTTCATCGATATGGAAATGAATAATGTGATTAGGAAAAAAATTGCCTGCCCTCCCCCATCCCCTTCAGAATTAAATGGGCGTCCCTTTACCAAACTGAAGCATGGAAATCATTTAAAGACTGGTGCATCACATCGTATCTGTCGGGTATGGAAGATAATCTACAAGAAGGATATGGAGATAACGAACAGTATTCAATATCAAAGTCCATAAAACAATACAAAATAGGTGTAGAGCAAACACGGACCTCCGAAACATCAGAGATGGGATCAGTTAGCATCCCCTGCTAACCGGTCACACCCGCCGTGTAATTGTACCATTGTAATAATTCTGTCTACAACAGTTAATGTGTCGGTTAACTGCGATAAGGAAAGCTTGTAATGTTCTTTAATGATATTTGAAATACTTTGAAAGATATATACTGTTCATGAAATGTCAGTTTCTATTTCATTTACAATTTATTGACACCCCTTCCGTTCGTCTTTCTTTTGGTTTAATGAACCTGCATCGAGTATGACTGTAGAAGACACGCCCACATATACAATATTCCATAAAAATCAGGATTTTAAGTGATACATCTTATTCTTATTCACAAGCATAACACAAAAATGTCAGTCTCATACTTGAAGTGTTCTATTGTTGGTGATGCCAGGGTTGGCAAAACGCACTTGTCTAAAGTATTTGTTGGAGAGAAAGGTGATTCGAAGTATACCCCTACCATTTTTGACAACTACTATGGTAAGTTCCATGATCCTTTAAGTTTTCACAAATGTTGTATGACTGTACTTTTATGTGGTTACCTGTCTTATATTATGAATAGTGTACTAATCTCGTACTTAATTTCATAGGTCAAACATTCTGTAGAGGAAAGAAAACCAACATTGCCATTTATGATTTGCCTGGACAGCATGACTTTGATCGCATGCGGAGATTTGCTCTCAAGGACAGTAATGTCATTATCATTTGCTACGATGTTCAGAAACGAGTTTCTTTTGAAAATGTTCAGACGGTTTGGATTCCTGAAATTCGCCAGTTTTTTGGACACTCCATTCCGATAGTTTTGGTAGGGATCATGTCCAACAAAAAACAAGCTAGGGGCGTCTCAAGAACAGAAGCTATTAAAGTAACAACCGAAATGCAACTTCATGACTACTTTGAGAGTCATTTTGACGACAATGCTGGGGTATCATGTCTGTTCTCGTGTGTTGCAACAATTGCAAAGAAAATCAAGAAGAAAAATTCCTCATTCCTCCGTCGTATTTTTATGAATTGTCATTTGAAGAAAAAAGTTAATGAATTTGTTTGATTCTGTCTAACAGAATCTGACCATGTACCTACCAAAGGTGAATCGAAGTCTTATCTTCGAGAATTGCCGGTACATCCGAAGAATGTTATTTGGAAGCAATGTTGGGTTTTGACTGAAGGCATGTCTAAGAATTGTGTCAATATGCATATAATGAATAAGCAGTTGTAAATTTAAAGATTTGAAAATCGGACATGAAAGAGATTTAAAAGAAGGAAGGAATATAGCAAATATATTCTGTCGTTGAGTGGTCATGATGCGCTTTATATGTTGCTCATAAAAGCAGAATCTATGGGGGAAAATGTATATATTCAGAAATAAATATTTTTAAAAAATTTAGTATTTCATTTTTTTTTTCTTACACTTCATAAAGAGTAAGAAAATAAACATTTTAGAATACAAAATAAAGCTGCTTGTTGACAAATTATATATATCCAGCTTTATTTAGAATACAATTTGAGGATGAAAGATGTTCAATAGGGTACAAGGCTACTCGACTTTGTAACCTTTTTAAATGTCTGAAGGGTTTATGATTCTTTAATACATTGAGTGTGACATATCACGTAGGTTATAGAGATTTCCATTTGCAAATCGGTCGATGAATGATAAATATTTTATTCTTATAAAATATCTTGTTGACTTCTCTTCACGATAAGTTCTAATGCCATAGACAGACAGACAGATACAATTTTAAAATGTAAAACGTAGTTTCATCATAAATATACTGAAAAACATTTAACGTGGACAGTATATTATTATTGCTTAAGTAAAGTGTACAATGTGTACACCAAGAATTTAGCTCTGTCGCGGTACTCACATTGCTCGGAAGATGAGAAGTATACCTACTTTATTCACTGAAGGTTTACTTTTATTCTGCAAAAAATTCTTTTAACCACAAAAATGATTCCTTGTATCTGGAAACAGTATTAGGTTAACTAAGGGTGTTTTAGATTACATTCTTAAAATACTATTATACAGTTAATAAATTCAATCGAAACTTGTCATACCCTTGAAGATAGAGTAAGGGTCTAATAAGTTTTTAGAACTTGTGCAAACTCCCTTTTTACTCAGTACAAAAATATGTTGAAATTTAAATCACGTTTGTAAGATAAAAACACCGTTACACGTGTGTACACATGTATTTTACCTTAACAATTCACAATTTTAAGTTATAAAGAGGAAACAAATTAACCTAATGTATTTACTATTCAGACATATTGAATTATTTCGTACATTCTGTTGAATGTCAATGTTACTTCACGCTTTCAAAACGAATAACTTATTGATTTTTAAAACACAAGTATATTTGAAAGATACATGACATGTATAGTGCGTAAGTCTGCTTGATTGTTTTTACGAGTTTAATGTCTACCAGTTTATTCTATTAAAAAATGCAAGATCATATTGTAGGTACCAACAATTTCTGAAATAAGGCAAACTTTTGACAAGCAAGTTGATGAAATACAGATATCAATAGTCTCGTTACAAATTAACATTCCGGAAGTTCTGTGGTCTAAATTAAGGCATTTGCGGACTGGCGTTTTCCATACAAATCGTTTGGCCATTATATACAAACCTTATTGCTGACGCATTTTTCTGTTTGGCTCACCATGATAAGGAGCATCGGACTTTGATTCAAGTTTAAGTCATCAAAATATATACGAAAAAACAATAGCAAGCCAAGTGATGATTTGACATATTGATGTACACAAGGACGCATTCTCAGGTAGTGAAGATTCAATTTTGTTTAGTTTATGGCCGCAAAGATATGGTAGGGTTTAAAATTACTATTTTAAAATGTGTTAAACCTTCTGATAAAGAACAGCTAAATTACGAATAGTCGGAGTGATAGCAGACATTTTCTGCCAGATTTTTACGTGTTACAGGTGGACCAGTATGACCTTGACCTGCGGAGTAGGATGGAGTTACAATGTACCTGTAGTAGCTCGACATGTTTTACATAGAAACATACATGTATAGGAAAAAATACTTGTATAAATGGAAATCTTAGCCAATCGCAAATTTAGCGATTTTTCCATAAAGATTGGTATTTCATTTTTAGCGAAAAGCAATCTAAGCGATTTCAAAATTCTCACGAAAGAAGCTATTACAAATTAAACACAATTAAATTTAGCGATCTCAAAACCCTCGCATAAGATGGCAAAAGTAAATCCTCGCTAAAAATTCTACTTATACGTTATGCTAATGAAGGAAAACGGCCAGAAATAATCAGGTGAGCATTGATGTCCATGGGCATTGGTAAGTAAAGCAAACAGTGACCCAACTCTTTCACTATGTAAGGGGATTTGTGTTACTGAAGAAAAACACAAATTCGGATGTACCGGCAATTCTCGAAGATAAGACTTCGATTCACCTTTGGTAGGTACATGGTCAGATTCTGTTAGACAGAATCAAACAAATTCATTAACTTTTTTCAGACAGTATTAAAGATGTTGTTTTCCTACATCTTAGGTCCTACTTTTACATCGAAATGCTGAAAATTATATTTATTTTCATGTCTATTGCATAATGCAGAAATATCGTCTATATGATGAATCTTAAATGCCAAGCTCCTTAGAACTATGACAAAGAGGCAGTGGTGTAATCAGTGTGTAGAATGTCAACAACACAAAATTGATTAAACGTAGAAGAAAATGTCAAATAAATCCAGTAATTCACTACCTACATAATATTGTTTTTCCCCCGAAACTTTTAGCTTAAATAGCATTTTGTTTCTGAAATGCTACAGCTGCAATACTAGTAAACGACTGTCAGAAGAATTCACCGAAAGGCCAAAAATAAAAATTTGTTTGCTTGCAGTTGCCTTCCGACCCACTGAACATGCATTCGACACAAACTTTTTTAAACAAATTTGTATAAGTGTATTGTTTATAAGTTTCGAGTTTTTAGGATATTGAAAAATTTTCATTTTCTTTTAATAAATAGCTTGCTCTAATTTGTTACTTCGACAATAATATTCATTAATTAGAGCATAAAATAAAGAGGTGAACCAGTACATTTAATCCAATAATTGTTAGTTTTATTCCCTCAACTATTTCATATAATAGTTGCACTGTATAAAGGAGTAAAGCTTGAAGTAAAAATCAAGTAATGTATAAGGTAGTACCTTGTGTAAAAAGAATGATGTTTTGCCACATATTGCAAAAACTTCATTATAGGCGCCAGCATATTTATAAACGATCTCAAAGTTGTGATATACTTGTACGTTTATTGTCATTAATAAAAATTCAGTGATTCATTTGAGATCGAGAAGGATCAAATTTTGTAGGAGACAGCGAGAGTTTCTTCAAATAGAATTGACAAAATTGAAATCCATGGTTCGATTTAAAGGTGCATGGACACAGATTTAAAGTTATACTATTTTTCATTAATACACAACAAGATTGCCACTTGTGTAATTTTTGTGTCCATTTGTGTCCATGCACTTTTAAGTCGATAGCAGCTGTTCATATGCTTTGGTACTTTGAAGTAAAGAGTTGCGGGTCCTTTGAATGAGACCTAAAAAACGAGTCTTGTGTTTCGCCAGGAGTTTATACGATACAGATCACTTACTGTTCAATGGCTCTGATAGCCCATGCAATAAAGTTCAACATTTTGAGCCATTTACCGGCATATAGTGACATTTCTCTATACCGTACAAGTACACATTTTAGCGAGACGCAAATTTAGCGATTTGTCCTTAAAATATGGCATTTTATTTTTAGCCAGGAGGAATTTCAGCGATTTTAAAATGCTCACTAATGAAGCTATTACAAATTAAAAACAGTTTATTTTTAACGATATTTAATTTAAGCGATCTCAGAACCCTCTCTAATAATGACAAAATTAAATCCTTGCTAAAAATTATGCTTATACGGTAAATGAAAAATTTTGGAATGGAACGTACTGTAAATGTATTATTTAGTGTGTAGGATATCATGGATATTTTGCGGAAATTGATTTTTCAACAATTAGCTAATGTAAATTTGAATTAGAGTTTTTTGAATATGCTAGATATAAAAGTATGAAATATATACAAGTATAATGTGAGTATTTTTAAACATTCCATGGAAAATTTGACATCACAAGACTTTACCAAAATCAAGAGACTAAAACCTACGACTTTTCAACTTTATACACCATTTCCCCGCGATAAATTGAAGTCCAGGTTTTTTGATATCATTGGCAGCTGCTTTTTCAAAAAATATATGAACTCGTAAAAATACTATCTTGTCATGGTCATTTGCACAATTATTTTGTTAAAGAAAACATTCCGATTGTACACAGACGTTCTTTGAAAAGTTATCATTAAAAAGAAGCTTGGGTTTCTGATTGACAATATCTTTATGCTTTTTGGACACATGGTCTTCCAACATCTATTGGAATTACCAATGGGTACCAATTGAGCCCTGTTATAGGAAAACCTATTCTTGTATTCATATGAAGCAGACTTTGTCCAAAAATACGTGAAAAGAAGAAAAACAGTTTATGCCGATACGATATATCCTGTTATTAAACGTACCACAGAGTCTGACACATCTGTTTCATTTTGGATATTCTACAAAAGACGTTAATGGTAATCTATCAACCAAGCTTTAAGATAAACGTGATGACTTTAACTTTTCAACCTCCCTTACTTACATGTATGCAGCAATATTATATATCAATACCTTCATCACTTGCATATGGAGTTTATATCTCTCAGTTGATTCGATACGCAAGAGTATGCTCTACGTACATACAATTTCTAAAACTAGGTAAAATTTTTATACTAGTTGTTTGGCCATTATTTACACACTGAATTGTCGGCGGAATTTCCCGTTATTTCCCGATCATGACAAGGAGCACACGGCGGGGGTGACCAGTCAGCAGGAGAAAACCCCCACTCCATGGCACCTGATCCCTTCTCTGATGTTTGGAGGTCCGCGTATGCTCTGCTTCCATTTTGTATTGTTAAATGGACTTTTGAGCTTGAATACTTTTCGTGATCTCCTTAAATATGAAGAATGAAACGGCTACTTTTGTTATAATATTATTTTTTCAAAGAAATTAACAAAACCAAATTAAAAATAATATGAACAAGCCTCAAGTTTTTCTCTGTCATCTGTTT